TTCTGTCTATGAGTGATGAAATCTGGATACTCTCGGTTCACTAATTATCTCTTCAGACATGTCTAATCTCCCGTGTGTGTGTATGTGCGTGTGTGTGTGTGTGTGTGTGTGTGTGTGAGTTTTAAATACAATTGTTTCTTTTTTTGTTTGGTTTGGTTTGTTTAGAAGACCTATTTGGTTCTCTTTAAGACATGCTGGACAGTTTTAAACATATTCTACTGTCTATAAATTTTTAAGCCTTTTATTTTTGTAAACATAGTAAGGACAGTTGTTTTAAAATCTGTGTCTGATAGTTCCAGTATCTGAAGTACTTGCAGATCTGTTTCTGCTGGTTCCTTGTTTCCTGTATAGTTTTAAATGTTCTGTTTTAAGCTGCTCGCTCCCTTAGAAGCTGGCTTTGGGGGTGCTTGGAGGCCTAGGAGGAAGGAGCCCTCTACGGAGGATTCAGGTTTGTTTCTGCAGGAGGTGTTTCCAGCTAGCGGACACTTCAAACAACATCCATAAATCAAGGAGCTTTGTGCCATCTAGATAATGTAATTTAGACTGTAAATTCATGGGAGGCTACATTTTGGAATTATTTTCTTGTTTTGATGCTCAACACTGAGGCGAGTTTGCTTGTATCCCCTAACACCGAGGTGGATGGAGCTGATTTCTTCTGGTTTATCCCTCCCGAGGGTGGGCCTTTCAGTGCCCCAGCCTGGAGAGTAGATGGTCTAACACTGGACACCCCACTTTGGCAGGTCTGGGCTTTAGTTTCTCTTCCCTATAGTCTGAAAGCTGAAAACCAAGCTCAAGGTCCCCCGGACAGATGCCCTTGAGTCAAAAAAAGTTTCCTGCTGGGCTTCCTCCTGGCTTCCCTGTTCACTCAAGTTTTAACCTGATAATTCCTTACTATTTTGTCAATTGTTTTGGTCACACTTAAGGACTTTTTTGTATTTTATTCAGAATTTTTAGTTTTAATCAGCAGTAAGTTTGGTTATAATAGCTTNGCAGTTAAGTTTGGTTATAACAGTTGAGCCTGCCATAATATCAGAGACGGAAAGTCTCTCTTGATCTCCCTGTTTCTCTCTCACCTACACTGGTGTCTGGCGAGGGATTAGCATTAGCACACAACTCTTTTTTCCCTCCCACTGCTAAACAATCACCTCAGCACCACATACTAAACAATCAATTCCTGATTGTGACATTTAATTTTTACATAATAAATTCACATAAATAATTTGTCTCCTTTCTGTGTTTTACTGATTCACTAATCTCATTATCTGACCTTGGATGAGTCTTTTTTTTTTTTGATTACTCAGCCTTTATAATATACTACTAAATCTCAAAGTGCTAAATTCCTCTTTCTTAGACTTCTTTTTCAGATTTTTAAAGCTATTAACTACTTTTCTTTTTCTTACATTGATCTTAGAGCGAGGAAGGGCAGGAGGGAAGGGAGGAGAGACAGAGAGAAACATTGATGTAAGAGAAGCACCGATGCCATTGGCTGTTTGCCCCCCTCATGTTCCCTGAGCAGGAATCAAACCTGCCACCTCTTGGTGCACTGATGACTCCAGCCAACGGAGTCACACCAACCAGGGCGAACGGCTATCCTTTTAAATGAACCTTGGAATCATTTCTCCAAGTTAAAAATAAAATTTCTTTGTAACTATTTTGAACTCTATTAAACCTATAAATTTATTAGAAAGAAATGACATTTAGTAAATCTCAGCCTTCCTAGCCCAAATCAGGTTATATCTACCACCGCTTATTCTTAACTTCATTTACATTTTAATAGACTGCTGTAGTTTTATTTCTGACAGTACTTGTTAAAATCATTCCTATTATCAGTTCATATATTTTGTTGCTATTGTCAGTTGGATCATGTTTTCTAAGGTTATTTTTGATGTGCTAGAATGTTCTTGCTTTTCTAAATTTTCCCTTCTCCGGTGGTATTTATGAATTCTCTTATTAATCATGGTTGATTTTAACAAGCTTTTCCGTGCATTCTATTTGAATACAATAATGTAATTTACATTTGTTTCTCTTTCTGGACTATGCTACCTGAACTTCTAAAGCATACTCAGCAATATTGGTATTTTGTTCCCTGTTTTGATGGTGAGTCATGGGTGTTTAAAGACTATATTAGCTCTTAGTATATTAAGCGTTTTGAAGCCAGCATGGTATTTTATGTAGCACTTTTTGCTCCAACCCTGAAAAGAAGTCCTAGCAGCCAGGAGATTTAGACAGCAGGGGGTAGCGGGTAGGCGAACAAAATATAGATAACAAACAATGGTTTACAAGAAGCTGTCTGAATGGTAAAAAAAAAAAAAAAAAAAAAGCTATCTGAATTGTAAAAAAAATAAAATTAAAATAAAATAAAATAAATAAAATAAAATAAAATAAAATAATTAGACAGTTTTGTTTATTTTTTGTTTCCAGGAACTGAGAAAAGAGACACAATGAAAGTCACAAATCTAAACGTGAGGAAGAGGGTTGAAAATGATGATGACGCTGAGTGAGGGCAGAGCCCGAAGGCCGTGCTGCTGAGGCAGGTGGGAAAGACCAGCCTGGCAAACACCAGTGGGAAGTTTTGTTTTTATTAACTACTGAATTCTGGTGGTGAGCTTTGTGTGCATAACTTACGTTGCTCATACGGAAATGGATCCGCTCTAGGCATCTGTTTCTAGATCAATGTCCCTTAAAACACAGTCTGTGGGTCACCTGAACAGAACTGACCGGGTGGCAGCAACTATGCAGATCCCCAGGCCCGGTCACAGGCCCCAGGAATCAGAACAGGAGGAAGGGATGGACAATCAATCTAATGGGGCTCCCTGGGGGCTTCTCAGAGCGAGAAACAGAGAGAGAGAGAGAGAAAGACACAGAGAAAAGCAGAGACAAGGAGGAAATGCTAGGCTCACACTGGGGCACTGAATAGGTATTGTGCATCAGACTGTAAAAGCTGAATTTGAGTCCCATTAAAATATTATAATTGGAGCAGAAGACTTTCCAGAGACGTGAACACACATCATATTAAACCTCCTACAAGGAGGGGCCCTATCTTGTAGGGAGCATTTCAAAGTGTGTGAAAACCAAGTAGGCAACACCCACCCCAGCTCATTTAATTATACTAATGAAATGCTATCAGCTCCGCCAGGCAAGCGCCTCCTCGCATTTCATTGTAATTCATACACTATTGTTACTACAATAAAGCAGGGAGCACCTCATCAGTCATGAAATTGAGGAGCATTTCGGGGAAATGGTTTTTCTCAGGTGTCCACAGGAGCTCTCTGGGGTAGATGTGGGGCCTCTGTGGCTTTCACAGAAACTGATCTGGGAACGCCAGTGTCATCTTGTCCCCGAAAGTCTCCCCAGTGCGATGTTTGAATGTCCAATGTCCTTTATCAGCTGCCATCACATCAGCCACAGCTGCTTCACTTTTTCCCCTTTTAAACATGTCCCTGCTTTTAAATTTAATGAACCACACCCTTATTCTCAGCAAGTGATTTCTGTTTTGATTCCATTGCGATGACAAGCCCCAATGCTTTAGCTTGGATTGCAACCACACTCAAAGGCACAGGGGCTGCGATGAATTTTTTAACATATTATCACATTGGCTAGGAGTCCTCCACATCGCCTTGAAATGGTGGGTAGCAATTTAACTCATTTAAGTTCAGGGGAATGTACGAGCGCCTACTCCGCTGTGGAGACCAAGACAAGGAAACATGGCTCCTGCTGGAGGACCCTGCAACCAATAACTGCCTTTCCTTTCATCTGTCACTCCTACAAAACACAGGGAAAGCATGGCCCAAAGACAACACGCTGCTCCAAGGTCAGCACTCAAATAAAAGGGAGAAGAAATAACCAATGAGCATTGCTTTTCAAAGTATTAATGTTTGGAAATTGATGGTACCCCTGCTCCAAGGATGTTTCAAACGGCCCCCATGCCACATTCCTGGTGAACAAAGATACAGCATCGTCTTTTCACTCTTTGGGCTCCCTCTTCCTTCCTTCCTACCTCCATCCCTCCTCTCCCCTTAAGTGCTCCAACCAGTATGGTCACACCCATCTCCAATATCGCAGACATAAGTCTAGAGCCCAAGGGCTCCTCACAAGGGCTGTGCAGAAGTCAAACTTGAACCAAAAGACCCTGGAAGGAGTGTTCTGTGCTCAGCAGGAGGCTGAGGCAAGCAGATGTGAGAGGATTGTGTGGAGTGAGAAGAGGTGGAGAGGACCATGTGGAGTGAGAAGAGGTGGAGAGGACCGTGTGGGGGGTGAGAAGAGGTGAAGAGGACCATGTGTGGGGGACAGGTGGAGAGGACCACGTGCGGTGAGAAAAGGTGGAGAGGACCATGTGGGGTGAGAACAGGTGGAGAGGACCATGTGTGGTGAGAAAAGGTGGAGAGGACCATGTGGGGTGAGAAGAGGTGGAGAGGACCATGTGCGGTGAGAAAAGGTGAAGAGGACTGTGTGTGGGGGGCAGGTGTGGAGACGACCATGTGCAGTGAGAAAAGGTGGAGAGGACCGTGTGGGGTGAGAAGAGGTGGAGAGGACCGTGAGGGGGGTGAGAAGAGGTGGAGAGGACCGTGTGGAGTGAGAAAAGGTGGAGAGGACCATGAGGGGGGTGAGAAGAGGTGGAGAGGACCGTGTGGGGGCCACATCAGGAATGCAGTTTGGCTGAATGTTTATTCGAGAAGCTTCTGTTTGTGCACGGCCTGCCTGCTGCTCGGTGCCCTCAGTGGGCAGAAATGACTGGAACACCCAGGTGAACTGCCACCACCGAGGACCTGCTGAGTGACTGTGGCCTGTGTACAGTACTCGCCCTCAAGAGGCTCTAAAAGGTCCACACCTGGCAGATGGCTCCATGGTCACCTACCAGGTTTAGGCCAAGGCAGGTCACCTCTTTCTTCTGGTCACTCTCAAGCACGGCCAGCTAGAGCCCCACCGAGAACCCGGATTTGTGACAAGTTCCGCCCCGTCAAGCGATGCCCCTGTTGTGTTATGCAACACAAATATCTCACCACGGAATCTTTCATCTTCTCGGGGAGAGGGTCTGCGGCCAGCTCCTCCAGGTTTTGATGTAAAAACTTAGGTAACCATCTGCATTGAATGAAGGACCTGAAAAGGGAAAACACAGGTTTTACTTTTTGAAATCTGTGCCTATGACAGTGTTTGAGGTAAAGGACCTTGCCTTAGGTCTCACACTCATGACGAAACGAGGCTCCCTCCCTCATAAAAAAGGGAAAACGTGTGTGTCCAAGTGACAGCAAAGGGGGTGTTTGATTTTCAAGCTCTGTCCTAGTTAAGCAGGAGGAACGGTGCCCTGGCTGTCAGCAGCTAAGAGCAGGTGACTCCCTACTTCTACCAGCCCCGCAGGCTCCAGACTCATGACAAACAGCAACGAAACTCAACACTCCCGTGAAGGGTCCGACGAGCAATCGTGCACCGCAGCACTTTCCCCCATTTCCCAGGCCTTCCGTTTTGCTGCACCTGGTAGCCTAAAATGGGGCTTCCGTGGCCCCAAGCATCTTACTCAGTTGTCCCCAGGTTTGGGCAAATGACCTGATTGACACCTGCTGGCGACTGACTTACTGACACATGAAACTCGGGCATCGCATGAAGGGTTTTCAGTCCCAAAGTGCATATTCGTCAAAGATTTAAAAATTCGATTGGGGAAGGTCAGAAAGTATGTTTTCAAGTGACTGAGGACGACTACTGAGACCTCGGTGCACAGCTCACCTGAAACCCCGAGGGCGCTGCAGTATTTGAAACAAAAAGCAAAAGAACCTTTCCTCTCAGAGGTGCCGCCCGTCTCCCCAGCGTGACCCCTGGAATAAGGGCAAAGGTGCCACTTAGCGGACACAGAGAGGGCCCTCGCTGAGCCTGGCGCTTCTCGGACACCGGCCCACGGGAAAGGCCAGAGGCAGAGCCTGGGCGGCAGCCCTCCAGGTCCCCGCATCTGTCCCGCATCATGCACTTTGCTCCTGAGCACAGAGGACTGAAAGGATCGCTGGCAGCTCAGGGGTTTCTGGTCACCCCGCACTTCTCCCTCGCCCAGGGGCCAGCGGGGGTGTCAGAGCTGTGCGTGCCACAGCGCAGGTGTGCCACTCGCTGACGTGCGTGTCACCGCCGGGCCGCGTTACTCACAGGAGCACGGACGGGTCGCTGCTCTGCCTGCTCAGGTGGTAGGAGAGTGAAACCAGGAGGCCGCAGAAGGCTGAAAACAGCGCGGGGATGTGCTGCGTGCTCCACGGCTCCTGAGGAGACAGCGGACAGCGGGTCACTGCGCGCGGGGCGCGGGGCAGCGGGTCCCCCTGTGAAACGCTCGGGCGCGTGCGTCCTCAGGCCCAGCTTCCGAATCCGCTGTGACACTTCACCCTGGCTTAAGAACTGTATCTGAATATCAGCCTTTTCGGTCCGTGGAGCCCTGATGGCCTCTGGAAGCTGAACCTGGTCCAGGACATGAACACTTCTCTCCGGGCTTGATCCCTACCTCACCGCACGTGGTCTTTGAGAAGCAGGAGCTGTTAAGTGTGCTCAGAATCAAATGCACAAATGAGTGGGTCAAGTGTGCCCACATTGTATTTGTGACTACGATGTGCTGGAAGAGCCAGCGTCACCCTGGGCGGAGAGCGGCTTCATTTCCGCCAGCCTCGCTGAGTTGGAAATTAAAATGCGTCTCCTTTCTCCCCCACAGGAGGGTCTAGGGTCCCGAGAGCAGCATCTGGAAGGGCACTGAGGCCACCGAGCCTGTAGCTAGAGAGCCGGGGGAGTCTGGCCCCAGGTGCACCCTGCTGCCACCAGCCCTGCCGAGGGACGCCCGGGAGCCTGTGACCAGCTCCCTCGCGGGGCCGTGGGGTGGTCCTCACACGTCGCTGATAGCCTGTCACTACCCCTCCCTTCTGTCCCTTCCTTTCCTTGTATCCCACTGGGAGGGTTCCCACTGCCTTCGCCCAGGGCTGCTAACTGCTTCAGAGGCGACATGCCCAGCCCATGTCCACCCCCCACCCCGCTCCACAGCCCCGGGAGGGTCCTCCACGCAACCAGAGTGGCCCTGCTCTCGGCAACGGCGAATCACTCACATTACCGCCCTCCGCTCGCACTTTCCCTGACTCCTCGCTGACTACCTAATAAAACCTACTCCACAGGAAGCTGCCTAAGCTCACCAGCACCCGGCCCTCGCCCAGTGCCAGCCCCGTTACTCACTCAGGATATGCACAGCCACAAAACCACGAAGACACCTTGCTTTCTGTCCCCCCGCCTTCGCCAACAGGGTTTCCTCTGCACAGAGGGCTCTTCTACTCGTCCTATCCACTCCACTCTGCCTGGTGAACTCCTACCCACGCTACAACGACCAGTGTAAGAAACCCACCTACCTGGTACTATCTCCCTGACTTCCCAGGAAGATTTACTGGCCCCTGCTATATGCCAGGCACCAAGGAGCGTACCTGTGAGGGAGGCAGACCCGGGGTCTTGGGAGAGGAAGAGCATGGGAGAAACTGACAAGTGACGTGAGAGTGAGGGGCTCGGGGCCAGGCACCCTCAGGGAGAGGAAGCAGAGGCTCAAGTGAGTCAAGAGAGTGGCTTTTAAGTGGAGCCTCGCAGGGAAGACACGCAGGAGAGCAGGGTCGCTCCCCTGCAGGGCTCTGGAAAGGGCAAGCTCGGGTCAGTGCTTGTGGCAAGATGGAGCTGACCCTCACCCCTCAAGAACACCCCTTCACCCCTGCTCTGCCACCACCCAGGGCTGGCTTCTCTCCTTTCATTTCATACTTGGCTGGTATAAGATAAAATATGAGAAAAGAGAAAAACCTGCTAAATCCTATTTCCTTCCATTGACTCCTCTGTGCTTGCCTAAGCTGAGTATTTAATTCAGAATTTGTGAAGCCCATAAAAATGCAAGCGGCTGGGAAAAACCACTATGAGGATTTAGTAGCCTCGACCCTGGAAATAATTGTCGCTGCATGACATGGAGAAAAGGTCAGGGACCAAGCGTTGGCGGGAGCTGACTCCTGGCTCATCGCTCCTGGAATGAGTGATTCTGTGGAAGGCGCTTCACTGCTCAGTGGCTCGGCTTCCCCTTCCATAGAAAGGTGACAATGACCTTCTTGAAGAATCGCCTTAATGACTTAACAAGACTTGAAACAGCCCTGTACACTGCAGAGCAGTATGTCAGTGCTAGTTTTCATTAGCTGAAAAAGAGAAAGTACCCTTGATGGATGCTCTTCACACACAGTAAAATGAAGCCAGACTAAATATATTTAAATAATTGCTTACTTACTCTTATTTGCTCACTACCCCTCCCCTAATTCTCCTCTCATCTACTCTCTACCTAAGTAAATCTCTTTAATGCAAATACAAGTGCACAGCTAACCTCACGGTCCTGAGGGACTACCCTGCTTATCTAGAAAAAGGAACAGGAGGTAAGAATATCCAGTCAGCACGTGGAGTTAGAGTGAGTGACGCCGTCCCAGCATTCATCTCCGCCTGCGATGACATGTCTGCACGAGCGACTGTTTGATTAACACCTGACCCTCCGGGGTGGAGCCCACGGACAGCAGGGACTCGTCTGTATTACCCAGTGGATGTGAGCAGCTCCTGGAGGCAGGGCCCTGACAGGCGTTTAATCAATATGTGCAGAACCAGTGCACAGGATCTGAGTGACTGTCCCTTACTTTATAGGGCACCCGAAGAGGGGTGTCAGCACGGGTCACTGTGTTTAGGTGTCCGCGAGCACACAGAAGGCGGGTCCACCCCAGGGCGGGGCAGGAGTTAGAAGCGTGGCTCTGGCCTAGGACTGGAGGCTGGAAGTCCAAGTTAAGGTGCCAGCAGAGTGGGTGTCTGGGGAGACCCAGCTTTCTGGTGCATCGGTGGCTGTCTTTTCAGTGTCCTCACATCCTCACGTGGCGGAAGGGGCAAGAACACGAACCCCAATCACGTGGGCTCCATTCTCTCACCTGATCACTGCCCAAAGGCCGCACCTCCTAATGCCATCACCTCTGCAGTTAGGAGGTCCACATATGAATGGGAGGGGGCAAACACTCAGACCACAGCAGACAGCTGAGGGGACTAAGGATTGCCGTGAATTCACATTTCCTGAAAGAATCAGAATCGACTTCAAGAATGGTCCCTCGCTAAGAGGAAGGGGGAGCATGATTTTTCTAGATTCTTTATATTCTTTTGTTTCTGCGCCAGACAGAAAGGGTACAGGAAATCTTTAGCAATCGTGACTCTGAGCTTGCCGAGGAGTGTTATTGCCCCAAGCTGCACAAAATGAACGGACGGATCTTGTCGGGGTCATTCTCATTTATTATTTAAGTGTTCATCTTTCCACATGCGACTCCGCTTCAGCAGAACCAGTAGCCTCAGGGTAAACTGTCAGCCGAGAATGAAAGCGGGGTGGCGGGGAGGCAGGACAGAAGGCGCGCACATACCCTCAGCAACGCGAAAGCAAAGAGAAGCTAGAATGACACACCCGTCCCTCCAGGAAGGAGGGTGGGCCAAGGGCGGCCGTCCACACTCCAGTCTGCTCGCTTCCGTCCACACCGGTCTGCTCTCTTCCCAGCCCCACCTCCCACCTCCACATAACTGCCTCAGAAATAACGCGCTGACCAGAGCTTTGACCACCTGGATTTCCCAGCTTGTCTACTGGAAACATCCTCAAGCTCAAACCATTTTTTTTTTTTTCAACAGATACAGTAATTTATGTAGAAAATAGGAGGCAATTCCTCAAGGAAGCAAGCATGGGAAAGACTTCTTGGAATCAATGAATTGTTCTTTCACATGCCAAGTGATGACTTTGCAAAACCACGTCATTTTCAGGAAAGATTTTAGATTTGAAAGAAATCTCATGGCTGAGTTCGCCTAATCCTTTCAAATTACTGATCGAGCAAGAAGACGGGGGGAGTGGAGGAGACTCAAGACGGTGGGACAGGACCCAGCCCCCAGTTCATGCTCCGTACACTCCAGGACCCTAAACGTGTGTGTGCAGCTAACTGTGCGAAATATGCGGACATCTCGCACCTTCCAGGCAGTGAGTTGGTATGTTTCGGATAATCACTGTAAATCAGAAGTTTCCAGCCTAACAGGCCATTTCGTTCACCTGTTCATCTCCGGGTGAACAGTGTTAGACACCTGTCCAGGTAACTGCCTGCCTCGGTGTCCGATGTAACGCGAGGCAGAGAACAGCCCAGAGGGAGCAGTGCGCCGGGAGGAGCCCAGGGGTGGCCTCGTGGAGGGGCCAGTAAGGAGTGGGGCTGCCAAGGTGACCGGGAGCGAACGTGGGGAGCCACCCAAGTCTCCGAAGGGCGAGATGCTTCAAGGCTGCGCGAACCCGCCCTCGGCCACGGGCCCGGTCCTGCTGCGGACGGGCACGGCTGTGTGCCATTTTACCAGTGCAGCTCTTAAAGAGCTGTGACGTTTATAGCGAGAGGTAAGAGTGGGAAATAGGCTTGGAAAAAATACACTGACGGGAAATGACCTGTACGGTTGGATCACCTCACAACTTTCTGCTCTGGGAAGGGAGGCAGCTGGGTGCCGTCCCCTCTGAAGATCAAACAGAAGAAAAGATGCTTCAGCATCCACAGTGGAATCGGCATGCAATTCAGGGAAGAACTTACCGACATTAATGATTTAATAAGTTACAACTCGGAAAACATGAGCATTTCCTTTTCCCAAATCATTTTAAAACCTAGATATTTCCCTTAGGGAATTAAGGCATAAGCTTGCTGGGGAAGGAAGGAAGAGAAGCTTGCGGAGAGCTCCTCTTGGCTTTTATTGCATATTGCAGTTTGAACAGCTCCACAACTCACCCCCACACACAACTCAGGAAACAAATCGAGTCCAAGGAGGAGCTACTCATGATTATTTCACAGAATTAAAACTTGGGGTGGGGGAACCCCATTTTATTCCTTTCTCCTTCCTCTCAGGGTCACTCTCTGGGCTGTTCAGTTGGGCATCTGCCTCCAGGGCCGCCCTGCACAGTGCGAAACCATGAAAGAGCAACACTGAGACGCTGGGGCTAAGGCGTCGGGAGCACCGAGAGGCCAAGCTTCTAAAGGAGCCAGAGATACAGGAAGAAAAAATTGCATCTGAGGATGCTTTCGTTTGAATTTTCACTTGGAGGTAGAGTAGGAAATACTGGAATTTGAGGGAGAAGAGGGCTTTTGAAAGAAAAGCATCACATGCCCTGTGTATTTATCAGAGATTTGGTGCAGAATTCCAAGTTTCCTTTCTACAAAGAGAAGCAGAGGGAATGAGA